GACAGGTAATATTTTTGTGGCTGGATTTGGAGACGGAGCTGTTCGGGTATTCGACACCCGACTCCGACCCCATGAATCCATGGTCAAGAAATGGAAAGATGATTCGGATCGACAGTGGATCAGAAACGTGCATATGCAACGCGGTGGTCAGCGGGAGCTACTTTCTGCCAGCCGAAACGGAAAAGTCAAGTTGTGGGATATTCGGATGGATTCACCACTCCGTGTTATCCAGACAACCCGCGATACTCTCCGAACAGCGAGTACCCATGAACACCTGCCGGTATTCTCTGTGTAAGTTTTAACTCACCGTTCAGCCTATACTAGTTCGCTACTAACTGTTTCACAGCGGGACGTCTGCGCACACCGTCAAGGTATTCAACTTTGAAGGCCGAGAGCTCTCTCGCATGGAGCCATACTCCAGTTTCTTGCAACAAAACCGCGGCGCGCCCATCTCGGCCACCGCCTTCCATCCCCATCGCATGATATTGGGCTGCGCGGCGCGAGGTGATCAGCATATCAACCTGTTCACCTGCGCAAGCGAAAAACCCGAGGCTTTCTTAAACTCAATATAAAGCCTCAAACGCTAAAGATCTCCTGCTAAAGATCTCCTTCTCGTCGCTCAGAACGGTGGAGTCTTCGTAGCATGTAAACGGCAGTTTTCATGCTCGCTTCTTCCTTTTTCCTTCTTCGACCCTCTAATTTCTACTTGACAAGGTACCGCTAGCATGACTACCTAGGTAGTTACGCACGTACTCGTATAATGGTGTAGGAATAGATGATTCACGGGTTTTTAATGGGCATTTGCTTAGGGAGGTAGGAAGGGCATCAGACCGTGTGTGTCGTCGGACGGCGTCGGATTGATTTGGGTGGCTTCGCATTATTCTTTGGTCTACTTTCTTATGACCCGGAGGCCAAGTGGAATCAGTCGATCTTAGATGATACGTCTCCGACGAATTAGAGTATTTAGTAAATGCTCTTAATAATACCTCTTGAACAAACCATGGCTTTCATGATGTTAAACTAGCTCAGTGTTGCTGTTGTGCCGTAGCCTCGACTCCGAAGCCAGAATCATGCTAGTCTTCGACGCATAGGGCTAACATGTATAGCAGGAACTGTATTAGCTGAGACATTTCTTCATACCATATCATGTAGTGTAGGTAAGTAAACGCAATGTAGTGAACTGAGGAAGTTGCTGTCAGTATCTAATATTAGAGGTAGGTACTCTTTGATTTACTTCTGAATTTGTAGTTGAACTAGATCGCGATTAACGATATTCAGGACTATACTACTATGATATTCATAGATACCTACGCACGCATGTTCAGCTTCGTGGCGCAGTGGCAGCGCGCCGGACTACTTACTCGTCCGGAGGCCCTCCGATCGAGACGGAACGAAGTTACTCTCTTTTTTCTCTTTTCTTTCTCTCTGACGCGTTAACTTTTTAACGTTTGTGTTTCGGCCCTGCGGTGGTACCCGTTAGGTCTAGGAAGACGATATGGTTCTGGTTCTGGTTATGGGAATACTTGAGCTTCAAAAAGGGGTTGCCGCTTTGAACTTGTAAAGCCATCTCAAATCTTGGAACGTGAGACTCACACTCATGAAAATCCTCAAGTTATCAGCAACATCACTTTTTCAGTATACAATGTATTTTATATGTCAGTCCAGCGCTATAGAAAACTCTTGTTTTGAAGATTGCCGTATCAGGAAACCGAGGCGGCCCCCAGGCCAATGAGAAGAGCCAGTGAAATAACTCGCTATTATTTCATAAATTACCTAAGTAAACTCAAGTTTGGACTTTGAGAACTGTAATTCTAAGAAAGTTCGAAGGCGGTAGGTCTATTAGAGCCTCGATTATTTTACTCCTATTTCAGAGGTAAACATAACCATCAACTTCGTTCATTCGACAACAAAAAAAAACCATCCCTCAGAAATTATCTCAGCCGTTGATTTCGATAGTAGTCATTTCTTAGCAGATACATCCTTTAGTTATATTTATATTTCTCTAGATACGCAATTTGCGATACTCATCCAGCGCAAATAGCATCATTTTCATCAGCGTCAACTATCAACCAGCAACAGCAGCCATGGATCCTAGATTAGAGGCATTGGCCTTAGAACAGACGTGGCAGAGGTGCCCGCGCTGTATGCATATGATTTCTCGACAATCCGGATGCAGCAACATGGAGTAAGTACACTACTGTCTATATGTGCTTCGCTTTAGACTTTGCGGTTCGCGGTCAGAGAATTGCTAACTTGACGATCTTCCATCCTTCTAGGTGTGTATGTGGCCAAGCATTCTGCTATGCCTGCGGCTCGCCACGAGGAACCTGCAACTGCCACACGCTGGAAGCACATATGCCTCTACGGCTGCGATCCGAGCATCCACCAGAAGAAACCATCGGAATAGGAGAAGTAAAGCGCGTACCGAATCGCAACCAGGAGAACATCCCACCTCCACGACGCGAGTCCAGGCATAGCCATGTCCCTTCCGCATCTTCCGCCCAGGCACCAGTGGCTATTCAAAACAACTCGAATCAAGGCGGACATGCATTACGAGGTTTCCCCGACGGACGCCTTGCCCGGCAGCCCCTCGGGGCGCAGCAGCTCCCTTCGGATCGACAACTTTCTCGACCCCAGACATCAGAGCGACCTAGACTCCCCAGATGATAAAAGTCAATGCTTTGGGCAGAATCGGTAGTTCACATTACATTCTGAGTGTAAATGTGTTTAGTCGTTAAATTTCTTTAATCCGCCGATGTTCAACGCCTTTGAGGAACGTTGGATCGGCGGCGAGCGCTCAATAAGTCTCTGCCATTTGGCTCAAGAGGGGCCGAGACTGGGGCATGGTTTGCACCTTGTGGACTTGCTAGTCGCCCTCGTAGGTATAGATAAATATAGGTACCTCTTAAAGATGAACAGTTATTTCGAGTCGCAACCTAATAAAAGGGTAAGGCAAATCACCTAGAGCAGGCAAGCTGAATACATTATTCACTAACACTAAAACCTATCCAGTTGACTATGTGGATTTGCATTTACACAATCCTCGTTGAAAGACCTTGGACAGGTGAATATATAGGTAGGTCGCCTTGTATCAAGATACTAACGCATTACCTACCTCCTAAGTATTTTATAGAATCCTACACCTATATCCCATTAAGCCAAGCTCCGAACGTAGTCCCTATTTCCAACACCCAGACCTTGACATCGCAGCGGTGATAGAGCTACAAAAACCCGCCTCAGCTAAGTCATTCTGACGTCAATCGACTTGGAAGCAGTAGTAGAACGTCTACTTTTATCTGTCTCGGTTACCTCATAGTACATGAACTTAGTGTGCCCAGGGCCGAACACTTCTATCTCCAGATCGCTGTCATTCACCTCCGGCCAGACTTCCCGCGCCGGGTTGCCAGCGACGTGTTCGTAGGGAGCGACATCATCCGTGACGACGGCGCCAATTGCGACCTTGGCCCCCTCTCTGATTGTGACTCCCGGGCCGATGACGGCTGAAGCCCCGATCCACGCCCCGTCGCAGATGGTGACAGACTCGCCTGTCAGCTCGCGGCGCCCTTGCGCTAGATTCTTGATGACGGTTTTCGTTGGAGGAGGACCCGTGGACACGATTGTGACATTGGGCCCGATGTAAGCATACCTCCCGATCTTGACCTCGGCGACGGGGGTATCGACGATCCTGCAGTTGCGGTCGATGTGCGCTGTATGATGAATGGACACCTGCGTACCGTAGTCCATGCTGAAGGGGGTCATGATGTTGGTCGGGGGCTCGTAATGTTCTCGCTCCGGTGGGAGCATCTTCTTGAACGCGTTGCCTCTCTCCAGAGCACTGGCTCGCGCGTCGAGGGCGTTGAATTCGACACAGGCTTCGGCGCATTGTCGACGCGCTTCGACGTACTCGTCTTCGTTGGGTGAGAATGCTGCATACACCTTTGTCGGCGGGGTGCTGGAACAGTCACTGCGCGAGCTGGGGCTCGGGCAGCCGGAACGACTAGGAGCTGGAGAAAGGAATTGGGAGGGCATATTTTTTCGTCTATAGAAGAGTCAGCTTCCGATGGGTGTGACTTGTCGTTGCCCTTTGGCTTGGATTGTTGGCTTTGTCGCAGCCACCTAGTAGTTCGCGAGTCTTGCCGATCCACTTGACGAAATCAATATAGTCTTCCTCCGATAGGCGATATTCTAGAATCCTGGGCTCTCGCAGTTATATGTGGATGTCTGGGTATCCTCTCATCGGTTTAGCAGGGAACCATAAAGGGTGGTTATCGTATTGCAAGTAAAATCGTCGGCGAACCAAAGTGGTGTAGTTCTACTCCTTGTAAGATTATCTTAAACGGAAACAATGGAGACCAATAATGACAGAAGATAATTATCTGAAATCTTTGTTTTGCTGGTGTGTACTTCTGAGTGTAAAATTGTTGATGGAGTACCCCTTTATGATAAGAGAGAACAAAGTCCATGTTTTAGGAATTCAAAGACCCTCAACTGACAAGAAGCAATTCCAATTCCTTTGGAAACTGCCATTGAAGCTCTTGATGCGTGCCGTGTACCTCCCCTCTAGCCTGGAGGCAATAAGGGCCAAGGCTAAAGTAACTCGGCACCTACCACAGGTGAACTCATTGTCTGAGCCCTGGGCAGGTTCCCTCATTAAAAAGATAGAGGGCAAGTGCAAAAATAATGCCATTGGGTCACACGCAACTCGGCACTGAGTTAATATCGATCACGCGTTGGCGGTCCCAAGTCTTCCGGGCAGGTGCCGAGCAAACCCATACCGACCAACCCTACTGATTGCCCCGAGTCCGCCCCTGACCTCCTTCCCTCAGTATCCCGTACTACCCGCCTTGCCCCCGGAGATGGCCTGTTCTCTACGACATAATGGTACCACTAGAAGGTCTATTGCTGCCTATGGTAAGCATATCTAGCCCATTATGAGCAGGATTTTTAACAACCTAGGAGAGGATGGCATCACAGCTGTTCTTAACTTGACCGATACCTAAGCCTGCATGGAGTAGTGGTTAACTCACCGGTCTCCGACTACTCTACAGTCAGTAAGCCGGGTACCCGGGTTCGAACCCCGGTGTAGGTGCTCATATTTTTCTATCTCTTCATTTTTTGTCCTTATTTTTCTTTTTTTTCTTTTTCTTGCTAGCATCCTGTCTCCCCTACCTTCCTTCCACTTGATGTTTACTCTAAATAATCAGCTACCCTGTTCAATATCGTACTTCTCTTAAATTTATTCCTGGTTCTATATCCCAGCTTACTATCAATGCTGCTTTTGAGTGAGTGGTGAAAATCCTTTTTTTGTGAAGACATTTAAGTAAGGCGCGTTGAAAGCTGAACTCGCCGCATCTTAAGGAATGATTCGGTTAGTTCTGACCAAGGATACCTTCAGTATGTCATTTTACGATGAGCTGAATCAATTAATTATTTTTATATGCTGGCTTATGTGAGCTTTCTCGATACCTCTTCGGCTGTTTACGGGGTCATCTTGCGATATGTTCTATTTTGGGGGGCATAAATCCGATATTTTGTAGATCTAGTTCCACCTTGGGATACTTTCCTATCATTTTCTTTAATACAACCTCGAATTCTATGAGGTAAGTGGCCGAAGTCCTTGAAGTATATTTGTTATCATCAAAGGGAAGCTGATATCTACCTACCTATTTTACAGAATATAAGAAGTATCACAGTCACCCTCAACCCCTGAGAAGAACAGCCAACCTCAGAGTAAACCTCGAAACCAAAACAAGGAGTCAATATGTTGTTTACACAGCTTTTCTTCAGCTCCCTCCTTTTGGTTCTTCCAGCTCAATGCGAACCAATCCCCTCGAAGCATATTTCGGCCAGGGCGCCTCTCCTTATCGATTTCAATGCTGCGCGTGGCGACGATCCGAAGAAACTTGGACTTCTCAACCTAGAGAAGGATAAAGGCGATCGACCCAAGGGCAACACCAATGATCTATATATCAAGCTAGACAAGGACTTCAACGGCCAAGCTGCCGCGCATTTCCACCACAAGACCGGGTATCGCAGGTATGAGCGCAATCTTCGCACCGTCTTGCGCAACTGAGACTAATACCAAGATCTTGATAGAGCCGAATACCACGCACTCAAGGGCGAAACCAAAGCGGGGACCACTTACTTCATTTCGTATGAGTTTGCACTGGAGGTAAGACGCTCAACTCCTCGAATGAATAATCGGGAGAAACTCATACGAAGCCTGTAGGAGCTGCCAGATGGCCTGATCATCTTCCAATGGAAGGAGTACAAAGCCAACAACGACCAGGACGGCGGCGCCAACATTCCATTGGCACTCGAGATACGGAACAACAAGCTAGAGTTCTCGCACACCCTCAAGTGGAAAGGACGTCGCGAGGTGCAGTGGTCGCAAGCCGTCCAGACGCGCAAGCAGTACAAGATCGGCCTGGAGATCCTGGCCAAGGCGGATGGGGGTCACGCAAAGCTGTGGTTCGATGGAAAACCAGTGACGTTTGATACCACAAAGTCCCAAACCCTGACTGGCAACATGTTCCCCGGACAGAGCGATCCTAAGTTTGGTATATACGGCGGCCAGACTGTGCAGGTCGATAGTTATGTGTACCAGGTCCAGATTGGGACGAGCAAGAGTGATCTCGACCAGAGTTATTTTGGAAAATAAGTGTACGAAGCTAGGAACGTTGTTTTTCGCATGGTTCAGTCATTTTCATATTCCACAGTTTTCCAGTGTGCGACCTGGCTTGTTTAACCCTTAAACTCCCAACACTTTTTGCCATATCTCTATTTACAATACCAACAAGTTGTCTTTCACTCTTTAGTCCGCCATGTAATAGACGATGTGTTCATATTTGCTACCTATTTGCGAACAAAACAGTGTCCACTGCAGACTAGGTTACAATCTCACATATATCTCGTATCTGAAGTCTTATAACCACCTAAGTTGCTCAACACAGTGAATAGTCAGTGAAATCCCGAAGGCCTTCGGAGTTGGACAAAAGCACCCCGGTTCTCAAGCCAAATAGACAGCGGCGATTCGCTATCTGGTGTCGATCCATGCAGTTGTTCGGCACTAGTCTGCGTCCGGCCTTCCGTATTACTCAGTAAGTACATCGGCTCCGACTCCGCATCACGATACTTTAGCGAGTTTCGCATCACCATACCTCTTCTCCGCTCGTCATATGACTCATCAGATGATGCGCCGACAGCCATCAGATCCTGGAATGCGAGTTGGGGAAGTCAGAATTCCTCGGTGCTGAAATATAAATAAAGACAAATCTAATAGGTCGTTCCCTCCTAAGTAACTCCCCTGAAAGACCGACAATTCAAAAATCACCTTTTTATACTCACTCCCCTGCTCCCCTGTGACTCGGCAACCATGTCAACAACAAACCAGAGCGAATGGAAGCCGACCCGCTTCGCCATAGCTCTATTCCCGGGCTTCCAAGCACTAGATGCATTCGGCTCCCTCGACATCCTGAATATCCTATCGAAGCGAACGCCCTTATCTCTCTACGTCCTATCCGCAACACTGGATCCGGTATCAACCAAGACTTCCACCTCGGGGCATAGAATCGGCCAGACCGTGGTACCTACGCACACCTTCGCGGACGCCCCGGATGATATCGAGGTGCTGCTGGTACCCGGCGGCGGAGGCACGCGGGACCCGGAGAATGTACGAGAGGTCGTTGAGTTCGTGCGCCGCGTATACCCGCGCTTGAATTATCTTCTCACGGTATGCACGGGGAGTGCGCTTGTGGCTAGGTCGGGTGTCTTGGATGGGAAGCGTGCTACTACTAATAAGATCGCTTGGGATTGGGTAAGTTTTGATTTAATTACTAGCCCCCTTTTTGCTATCATATCTCGAGCTAATATGACGAATTCTTTTAGGCCACGAGCCAAGGTCCAAAAGTAAACTGGGTTCGCAAGGCCCGTTGGGTGACCGATGGCAACGTGTGGACATCGTCGGGGATCTCGGCGGGCATCGACATGACCTACGCCTTCATAGCCGACCGGTTCGGCGAGGAGACTGCGCGGAGTCTGGCCTACGCTTCTGAGTACGTGCGCAATACTGACCCGAACGAGGATCCATTTGCTGGAGAGGAGCGCAATGGTGTTGCTAAATAGATTAGGCTGCTTGCTGTCTTGGTGGATGAATGAATAGATGAACGGATTCATGAAATATCCAAATGAAGGTTGAGGGAATATGATACCACAGCAGTAACTACGAAGCATATGGAAGCAAGGGTGGCCTAGCGGTTACTTTCATCTTCTACACGCTCTCCACTTCCTAGGTAGGTACTTAATATTGAATAATAGGCACCTATTTCATATCTATGGTCCCTCAATGCTGCAAAATGGAAAAGGAGGCTGCATGCCGAGATGCCTGAGCAGTTGGGTAGTTGATGTTATTTCGTTCGCATAAGAATGATATTAGGGCGATACACTCGTTGTCAGATTGCAATATTTAGGGGACGGTACCAGGCTTGTCCTCCTAGGAGAGCGATGCGAATCCAAACTGAAGCTGAGCAGTTACATAGGTAGGTACATTTAACTCCTCTCGCCCACTAGCAAAGTTGATCCCTTTGAAATCCAATACGGCTAATATCAGAAAGTATGAGAAATCGTACGATAGATGCCTTATGCCGACAGAGGATTGAGATGCATATCACATCGAAGCCTCTCGGGAGGAGATAGATAAAGACTTAACATGGGAGATCTCAGCCACGAATGTACGCGGGATAGAAGGAGAAAGAGATATCGATAACCTTAACACAATCACCTGCATTTTTGTCGGCATCTAACTGGTACATGTCCATCATAACGGCGAGGCATATGCGGTGCGATGACCATCGGGTTATGTCGTGTAAGCCGTCCCATGCATTGGCTCGGGAAGGGACGCAGACCTACGCATGTCACGATATGGTAGGTATATTGATAGGGTCATGAAAAGGGGCTGTATGCCGCGACTCCCCCCTTTTGGCGTTCTTGGCAATTCGCGGCCCCGAGGCTTTTACCTATCTTATAGGCTGGGTAACCTAGGTCATATTGGTTGCACCAGCAGCGGCCGGCGCCTGTTGGCAAATGATAGATCAATGGTGTCGAGGCAATTGGTGGGAGAGAGGCTGTCAATGGTTCCCGTCGGGTTGGTGTGACCAACCTATCTGTCTTTGCGGTCAACGGCTTGTAGAGATACCCGTGTCGCGGGTGCATTGTTCCTTGCTACTAATTGCTAGGATTCATATGGTAGAAACGTTTGAGTGTCAACAAGGTCCGATGAGACGATTGGATATCGACCCGGAGTTTGGCTGAGATGTGGCGGATACAAGCATGATGCAGGGTCATTCCGGACTTAAACTATCTCGGATCTCGGGTTCCGAACACGAATTCACCACAATAAGAGGTGGCTTTCGAGTTGCCAAAAATATCGGGACTGATTTAATATCTGGGGAAGCGAGGAGAGCGGATTCTCGTCGTCGCGATGGGTAATCTGACTGTTGTTACCCAATGAGGCTGTGGGGGGTTGAATCTTGAACGTTATTGAAGGGAAGCTTAATATTGTGTGGTTACAAACCGACCGGCGTCGAGACCGTTACCGATTTTCCTTACCATTGCCACGGTTGGAAATAGCCCTGCATTGTAGGCTGTCGATCTGATGGAACCAAAAGCTTTTTGGATAAGGCTGGAAGAACCCCAGTTGCAAAAGCAGGTTTTGGGATCCCTGTAGATGCAAGTCGGATTCGACGTATCCTACCCGTTGCCACGATAGCTCGCCTTGGCGCGTCCAAGGAATCCGAATTCTGACCTGAACCGAACGTTGATGCCATCGAAGGCGACGCAACGGTAATTTGCAAGCCGAAGAGGATCGAGGGGCAAATGATGATGGATTGGTTGTCAGGCGCCCACGTGAGATCTCGTCCAGATGAAGAATTACTGGTTTTCTTTGCATGGCAGCATGGCTGGCATGTTACCTGGGGTAGAGAATCGCGGGAACCAAGTTCATGGATAAGATCCAGTTCGCGTAAGCCCAGGCATACGTGTCGGTAAGCATACTGGCATATCAATAAACTAGGTCGGTTACGCTACGAGCGG